ACCGTTATCTGTAGTGAATGATTGGGTTGAAGTGGTTTTGACAAACCATTATGACACATAAAACTGTATTGCAGTCGCTTTTTAGTTGTAGGATGCTTGGTTGTGGGATTACTCTGTTGAATGTTGAAATGGTAGCTTTCCTGATCACTCTAAAACATGGAAGGTATTGCAAAACATCATAGAAGCAATGAGTTTCAGATACTCTAACCAAAAGTGTCATCTCTTTGGCACAGCACAATATCTCGTGAGTGAAACTTATTGCCAACAATGACCACTGCCACTTCATCAACAGTCGAAGCGTCGAATCATCACTCATGCTCCCCAGCTGGACAGCAGTCAGCACGCATAATGGCTTTAAAACCATCTGACGGCCACTGATCTAATGCGGTTTTAAAGGACGCAATTAAAACATTGTTGCCATAAAAAATGCGTTGAAGGCTTTGTACTATGTTTTAGGATGTTGTCACAGCACCTTATAGCCTCAGCTTGTCGACCACCAATGAAGAATATTTGTAGGAAGCCATGAGGCTGATCGGGTTGTGGGAGTAATAAGCCAATTCTATGTTATATTTGCCCCTGCACAGTGAACGTTGTGGGATAGTCATGTTATACAACTTGGCCAAAAGTACCAAATGAGGTCATTTGGAAGCATGAGTTATATTTCCAAATTTAGTATAAAAACACCTGGATTCTGCTGTTTCTCCAACGACAAGGGTCTTTAGTGGCTCAATTGGCTCAGCAGGTAAAGTAAGCCTTACTTTTCCATTTGAACAACACATCCCTATTAGCTCCCATTTTACTGTATCACAATATCTACATGTTTGGCTCATTCTGCCTATACAAAAAAAAACTGTGATTGATATAATCAATGAACAGATCATATCGAAAAGCTATACCATTAAATGGGTTCCACATCATACTCATGAAGTCTTATCTCCGTCGTTGTCTTTCCTGTATAATAGCAGGGGTTTCCTCTTGTACTTGTGCAGCTCTTTGTAAAGCCATTCTGTTACTGTTGGCCACCACCCCAGCCTGATGCTGTTCATCAGACATTTAAGCGGCTCTTTGTGATGCAATTCAACTATTGGTACTCTTCAGGTGTTTCAGCAGTTCTATGTGACGCAGTTCTACTTGTGTTGGCTGGTACTAGAATGTTACGTTCATCAGATGTCTCTGAGGTTCTATGTGAGGTGTGCCTGCAGCTAAAAGCCTAACGTGGCGTTCATTGGGGGTTTCAGATTCTCTATGGGAGGCATGTCTGATCGAATCAGCTAAAAGCCCGGCCTGGTGTTCCTCTGCAGTCTCTGAAGCTCGAGTATGGCTCGTTGCCCTAGCTCTAACTGATTTTTATGACAAATTACTTTACCTAGAAGCCAAGGAGTTGCACAGGCCGGTTATTAAAAAGTTCATTAAACGCCGAATAGTCACCAAGGGTATCGACGATTTGTGGGCTGCAGATTTACTAATAATGAAGCAGTACGCTAGGGAGAACAAGTGGTACAAGTACATTTTAAATGTCATAGATACATTTAGCAAATTCGTTTGGTCCGAACCTTTAAAGAAAAAAGACGGGGCAGAGTTGACAACGGCTTTCGAGAAGATTATAAAAAGAGCAAACAGTGATGGTCATAAAGCACCGAAGCTTTTACATACCGACAAAGGTACAGAGTTTAAAAACAAACCGTTCAACAACATGTTGAGGAGGCACAATATCAAACTATACCATACAGAGAGTGAAGAGAAGTCCGCAATAATTGAAAGATATCATAGGACATTGAATGAGAAACTTAAAGTGAAATTCCAAGTCCGACAATCCCACAAGTGGTACGATATACTACAAGAAGTCACAGATGAGTATAACCAACACGATTATCACCACACTATTAAAATGAGACCAGTAGAGGTCAACAAAGATAACGAGGCTGATCTATTAAAAATGTACATTGAGCGCGAACACAAAATTCGTAAAAACAGCAAGTTCGACCTTGGTGATAGAGTTCGTATCACAACGAAAAAAGACGTGTTTGCGAATAAATATAAACAAAACTGGACTTCGGAGATATTTACAATAGCACGAATTCTAAACACTAGACCGGTTACTTATAGGATCGCCGATCAAAATGGCGAAGAAATTATAGGCGGATTCTATGAAAAAGAACTGCAGAAGACTGCTCTCTGAGTGTCCGGACTTTGAGGACCGTACCCCATTCTAGGACTGTACCCCGTTCTAGGACTGTACCCCGTTCTAGGGCTGTACCCTATTCTAGGGCTGTACCCTATTTCAGGGCTGTACCCTGTTCTAGGGTGTACCCTGTTCTAGGGTGTACCCTGTTCTAGGGTGTACCCTGTTCTAGGGTGTACCCTATTTCAGGGCTCTCATCCTCATCCTGCGCTCGAACAGACCTTTACATAACTACTCGTCTGATACTCAATCGAATAGGCGATTTTCTGGAACAAAAGATCATTCCACAACAGGCAGGCTTTCGATCAGGCAAGTCTTGTTGTGGTCAAGTCTTAAACCTGACCCAGCACATTGAGGATGGGTTTGAGAGAAAACAGATCACGGGTGTCGCTTTTGTAGATTTAACAGCTGCCTACGATACCGTAAACCATCAAAGGCTCTTGGGAAAAGTGTACAGCATTAACAAAGACTATCAACTGACTTCAATGGTAGGCACTTTTCTTCATAACAGGCGGTTTTACATGTCCCTTCATTGCAAAAAAAGTAGATAGAGGAATCAAAGAAATGGATTGCCTCAGGGTAGCGTCTTAGCCCCAGCCCTTTATAACATATACACCAACGACCAACAGTTGCCAAACGCTACACGTCAGTATATATATATGCCGATGATACGGCGGTGGCGGCACAAGTTAGGAGTTTTGAAGAGGTAGAACGGAAGCTCACTATGACTCTAAATGAACTTTCCCAGTACTATGACGCAAATCACCTCAAGCCGAACCCTCCTAAAACCCAAGTTTGTGCCTTTCACCTAAATAACAGAGAAGCAGGCCGTCAGTTGAATGTGAGGTGGCGGGGAGACCGTCTTCAGCATTGTCCTACACCCAAATATCTTGGTGTCATACTGGACCACACACTGACATTTAAGGCGCATTGTATTGCGACAAGAGGTAAAGTCCCAGCGAGGAATAATATCATCAGAAAGCTCACCAGCTGATGCTGGGGTGCTAACCCTAATGTCCTCAGAACCTCAGCTTTAGCGCTCAGTGTGTCGGCTGCTGAGTACGTTGTACCAGTATGGAATGCATCGTCACATGCAAAAAAGGTTGACACTGCAGTCAATGACATGGCTCGGATTGTAACTGGGTGTTTGAAACCAACCCCAGTACACAAACTTTATCCTATCGTAGGGATCGCCCCTCCATCAATTCGATGTGATGTCGCTGCCGACGCAGAAAGGACTAAGCAAGAGACAGACCCTCGACCCTCGTCACCCATTACACGGCCACCAACCTGCAGAGTGACGGCTTCGGTATAGAAAGAGCTGTTTATCACGCACACGAGTCCTCGATGGATCACTCTCAAGCAATCGGTTGGCAAGGTGGGAGGCCACGTTGACTAACCCTCCCATACCAGCCAGGGAGGAACCGGCTCCTGGTGGAGGCCTTCATTACACGGTGTGGAAGACCCTAAATCGAATCAGGGTCAAGGTACCAAAATGCAAGACAAACGTGCAGAAATAGGGTCTCTTACCAGACGAAGAAAACATCATGTTGTGTCCTGTTCAGGATCCTGGCCATCTGCTGATCTGTCCAAGCCTAGACCAGTCTTGCACATTAGATTATCTTTTACAAGCGAATGACAGAGTCATATCGGAAAGTAAGTAAGTAAGTAGCAGGATTATGTTCGCTGACAATATGCCACCAACAATGAGATGGTAAAAGTTCTTGTACTTGAGCAACTCGGTTTGCAACGAAAGTCTTGAGTCGATAAGGTGGAGTGTGTAACCAGGCCAGTTACAGTTGAATCACACCATAGAGCTACAGAGGAGGAATCTATTCTTTAGTGAAAAACAGTGAGAACATAGGCTACCAGTTGAGCCAGTAAATGAGCAGCGCATAACTCTAAACGAGGAACTGTAAGTTTCTTTAAAGGAGCAGCAACTCGAGTCTCTGACAATAGCTGCCTAATTACCACAGATCCATCATTAAGGGTATACCTTAAATACCCCGCCGCAGCTAATCTGCAGATTAAGCGAATTTCCATTTTACTGATTTGATTTTCAATTTAATCTATTCAAATAACATAAGGTTTAACGAGTACACAGGCTTTCTGCCTACAGGGAGGGTATTTAAGTGTGTTTTTTTAGCTAAATATTGATCGCATAGTGTACAAAAAATAGATTTGCCAGGTTTGATCCAAATATATCCATAAACAAGCAGACTACAACAGTTTACTTATTCTCCATAAAAATAACATTGGAATTTTTAAATTATAATTTTCTCCGTAACCAATAATTATACAGAACCACTTCAATATACCAAATTATTTGTTTTTTAAGCCCTTCAAAATGGTCTATAGAAGATTTGGGAAATTTTAAGTTTTAAGGGGTCAAAATGAGAAAACCCAATTTTTACCCCATAAATCCCCCCATAAAACCCTGTTCCCACGGTCCGATCACGCTGGTTCACTAACACCTTTGAATAAACGTAGATTTACACTTTTGTACAAAATTTCATCGAAATCGGATCATTTTTGCTCGAGTTATCGTGCTAACGGAAACACACACACAAACACACTTATATATGAATTTAAACGGACTCTGTTTTGGTTTCTAAAGTAAATCGGTCTCGGGTCTAAGTTTTACCATGACACCTACGGTAGTAGTTTATTCTCTATATAGGAAATTTGCTAATATTATGGTGGCAGCATATCCACCTTTGGAAGCATCTGAAAACCCATGTAGTTCAGTACTACATGACTGGGATACTTTGAGAGCTCGTGGAATTAAAATATTGTGCAGATGTACCAGTGAAATTTTTCACATTTCGAGAAGTTCAGGCGGGAGAGGTTGGTCCCAATTCAGTCCTTTAGTCCATATGAGCTGCACAAACTGCTTCACCCACATTACAATAGGAGATACGATACCACAGGGGTCATAGGTCTGTGCAATAACACTGAGCACTTGACGCTCTGTTCTAGAATTCTGAGGTAAATTCAAATTATAGGTGAAACTGTCAGTAGCCAATGACCAGTGTATGCCTAGTATGGTAAAATGAGGTTGTCGGCCATCTTGAAGAAATACCGGTGACTCTATGTGACCATCTGTTAGATCTTGTAGCAGTCGACTGGAGTTTGAAGTCCACTTGCGTAACTCGAAACCGGCCCGTTCCAACAGCAAGATAAGTTGTTTTTGAAGAATCAAAGCTTCTTCCCCAGAATCACCACCTGCAATGACACCATCTACTAAGGTTTGTGTGCGTAGAATCCCTGCCGCTTCAGGGTATGGGTTTGTCACCATCAGCTGCCAATATATGCGGGGTTCGAAAAGCATTGTGGTGAGTAATTATCTCCGAAAGTCACAGTGGTGAGTTTGAAGATCGAAGGTGACTGATCAACATTGTCAGGCCAGACGATCAACTGGTAATATAACACTGGTCACCAGGATGCACCTTAATCTGCCTGCAGCCTACATCACAGAAAAATCCAAGATTATGAATGCGAAAGGAGATCAATAAATCACAAATGTTAGTTTGAATTTTTCTGTGGTTGAGAGAGATGCCATTTGAGGTTTTGGCACTGGCGTCAAATACAGTACGCAAACGAGTGGTACTGCTAGATTCCTTTAAAACCTCATGGTGAGAAAGGAAATAACGTGGAGCAGTAAGATCAATATTTTGAGCAAGTTCCATATGACCCAATGACAAATACTCAGTCATAAAATCTGTATACAGAGACTTGAATTCAGGCTGAGATTTAAATTTGCGCTCAATAGAGTGTAATCTGTTTTCAGCATTTGAAATGGATTGTCCTAGAAGTAGATGGTCAACTTTAATCGGCAATCAAAATTGCATAGGAAATCGTATCTACATTTTGGAAATAAATACTGTTTGTTGAAAAATGCCCTATATATTTCCTATGGGTCATAAAAATCACCATATATATAAAGTTTATTACTACATTTAATCAAAACTCTTTTCAACTTTTTTATATTAAATATCGTTTGTTGATAATTTCCCATAAAAATTTAATGTTTTTGAATTACTTATTAGACAAACAACTTATGACCACGAAAACAAGAATTCAACTACACTAGTCCAACGAAAAATATTACCAGCGAGTTATCAGGATAGTCAACATCATTAGAGTCATCATTAGAGATTGGAGGATGGTGGCCATCTTGGATTAATTTCAAACAGCTGCAGAAGAGTTATTTACCATCAAAAAAGTATTTTCAGTCACTAGGAGCGAAAGTGGCTCTTTTTGGTACCTACGCAATCTCGAAATACGATTAAGTACCAAAAAGACACTTTCCCTCCGTGAGTTGAACAACGATTTTCATCATACTGTGGAAATGACCATCTAATCGTAACGAAACTAGACTATATAATTTGAGGTTATACAAAATCGTCATCGTCATTTCTGTTGTTTACAAACATAATTTTTAATATCATGTGATTAACAGTATTTTTTATAATGCACTGAAAAAATGTTAAGGTAAGCGAACCGAAAAATTTACCAGATTTTTTTACAAGTAATTTTGGTCAGATGTTGATTGATTCTGGTATTAATATATAGAGTTTGATAAACTTGAATGAAGTCGTGAACTGGCAACATCGGGTCATAGGAACTGAAAAGGCATAATTATTTCAAAGGCATAATTTGGTTTTCATTTTTTTAGTTTTTTTATCCTCGTTTCACCTGAATTCAAGCTGAAAATCCTTGCAGAAAACTCCCAAGGAAATATAGTAGAGGAAGAAAATATGACATTAATCGACTGAAAGATGCTCAAATAAATTAGAGTTTTAAGGTGGAGTAGAGGAATAGGTACGAAGTTTTGGCTGCGTATGAAGGAGATGACTGTAATATAGATAAAAGATGGGAAGAAGTAAAAAAAAAATTTCAAGAGGTTGGAGAAAGTGTTTTAGGGTTAAAAAATCCAATTAAAAAAGTGTGGATAACCGAACAATCTTGGAGAGAAATCGAAAACCGAAAAAGATTGAAGCAAAAACTAAGACAAGCTAAAACAAGACAACAAACATTGGAAGCAAGGAGACTACACAGTTAGGCGGACAGGAGGGTTAAGCGAAGCACCAGTGAGCCGTGCGAGTTGACGGCTCAGGTCTTCTATTACATATAAGTTTTTTTTTAGGCGGAAGTGTCCGCTTGTTTCATTCGGGGACGCGCCAAGGTCCGCGGCCAACAAGGTCTACGACCACCAACCTGACCTACGATTGGTGGTGCGAAATGTCCGAGCTGAACCAGTTCCGTGACGGGTGAAGAGGATGTAGTCGTGTTTGCTGCCGGTAGACCTTGTTGCCAGTGGCCAACGCATCTGTTAGGCTGGTGCGGTCAGGACAAAGTCTCCTTTACATAACTAATATGCATTTTTTATTGACACTATCATTATTATAGTATTTAAATGGGATAAGAGTAAGACTAATACAAACGTAACCCGTGCTATATATTTGTATAGCATTTTTGCTACTAAGATAAATAAATCTGGTTTCTGCTTATTTTCTTAGGATAAAAAAATCCTTTTGTATTTTTTGAAGTTAATTACCCTTTTCGAAACCCTCCTATAGTAGGTGAATAATTTACTTTAAACTTTGTAATGTTAAATAAATATTTTCAAATCAGAACGATAATTAAACTTTTGGCCAGAAGATATCAAAATAAGTTTTATTTTAAAAAAGGCAACTTAAATTTTTGGGGAATGCTATTATTGTATTAATTGTAATAATAGATGAGTGAACGAAGTGAACGAATCTTCTTACTACACTTGTATTAACAATTGAGTTATTTGATTTTACAAGGAAATCAATGTAAAAATAAAGCATAGCCGGCACTTTATTGTATATGTATGGCTGAGTACCATACGAAACAACGCCTGCAAAAACTAGTATACCTTTTGCAAACTCCGCCGTATTGTGGGATGATAGGAACGCCTTTTTCATTCATTTAATCAATGGATTGTTAATCTTTGTTGCTTTTAATAATATTTTATTTATGCGCTGCTATGTTGTAGTTTTGTAAAATTTTTCAAAATGACATCATATTTTCAATTATTGTATAGTTTACTAGAGAACCCGTGAGGCTCAATGAGCCGCATAGTATGAAACATAACGCCAAGAAAAACATTAAGCTTAAATTCGAATAGTTTTAGTTACATCTTAGAGTTGTTTGAAAACTTATTAGAAACTGATTTTAAATATCTCTATTTGCGTCGTCAATGCTCACTTACATTACCGGTATTTCTGCTCTCAGTTTTAACTGATGACTTCTAATGAATGCTAAACGATCTGCTTCAATTCGAGGTAACATGCTGCAACAAAGTGTTTCCAGAATCGAGAACTTAAGAAAACCTTATATGCCTTACTGATAACCTGTGTTAGGTAATTTAAGTCGAGTCATTTTATTTCTTTGATTTAAGACATACACCAACCTACTCAAACGAATTTTCTCCGTAGAGAATCCTGAAAAATGGGGTGATATCAACCATTTCATGTGCTACATGTTTTAACACAGAATACAGTACCTAATACAAAAAATCACACTTATTTTAATAAGGAAATAAATTGAAAGAATAACAAACAAATAAGTACTGCTAAGGTATTTTTAAAATTAAGTATATGGAAAGTTCGCTTTAGAAATGAATTACGACCTTAAAGGGCAATTTACGAAATAATGGATAGTTTGGATGGTAATGGAAGTTTGACAGTTTAACAGTTTGCTACAAACACTTGGTTGAAATGAAACTTTTACTACAAGTGTACATGTTGCTCGAAATCGAGCAATTGCGAAGAAGTAAAGTACGGTAGTTGTTTAAAAACAAATAACTTATTTAAAACCTAATAAAAGTCATAATTTCCGATGAGTTTAAAACACTCAACTCATAGATCACGTACCTAACAGTTCCATATAATCAACATTTCTTGTAAATATTTTATCATTTTTCAAAAGCTGATCTAGTTTTTTAGTGTATTCTACAAATATTTCCCACTTATAGCCGCATTAGGTTGTCCATGTTGATCTTCGTCAATGATAATGTAGTCTGCATGGTACTACCCATTAGTCCAGGACCTGACTAGGGTTCTGTGTGCATGTCTTGTATAGTGAATTTTACTTTTGCATTTCAATATAGGTGTCTTAGGAAGTGTTTTCCACTCGGGTGTCAAGTTCGCACCTGGTACGTTTTCGAGCTATGACGTCATCAAAATCGCGGCCATTGATTTTTTAAATTGTATATTTCGCAAACTATTTGTCGGATCGGAATGAATGTTTTTTTGTTTGAAAGATAATTTTAAATGCTACCTGTTTTACATTTACACATTTGTTGTATGTTTAGTACATTCTTCGTAATTTTGCAAAAACCTGTATTTTTAAATATTTTTGAGTTATTTTTGTTTGTAACGTTTTATTGATACAATTTATAAAAAACCACCAATGAAAAAAGTTGTAGAACATTTAAAAATCTTTACAAAAATACCAAATTCGATATGTTTTACTCAAAAGATTACGTCAAGAAACTAGATAAATCTCATAAAAACACCAATTTTGGCGCAAAAACGCCTATTAGTCCGGCATCTAGGGCAGTTCGCAAGTCTTTTAAAGACAGTTTCGCCATTCAATGTTGATGTACGTGTCTAAATAAGTGTTTTCAACTCGGGTGTCACGTCTGCACCCACTGCAGTTTCCGGTTATGACGTCATTAAAATGGCGGAAAGGGCTATATTAAAAATAACGATATTTTACATACCATGTATTGGATCGGAATGAACTTTTTTTTGTTTGAAAGATAAGTTTACATGCTATCTTTCTTACGTTTGCACTTTTGTTTTATGTTTAGTACATTTTTCGTAATTTTGCAAAAACCTATATTTTTAAACATTTTTGTGTTATTTTTGTCGATAACGTTTTATTGATACAATATATCAGAAATAACTTATAGACAAAGTTGTAGCACGTTAAAATAGCTTTACAAAAATACCAAATTCGATATTCTTTACTCAAAAGATCACGTCAAGAAACTAGAAAATCGTACAAAACAACCTAATTTTGCGCAAAAACGCATATAAATCCGACATCGATGGCTGTGTTCGAGTCATATATAGACAGTTTTACCATTCAATGTTGATGTATGTGTCTAAAGAAGTGTTTTTAACTCGGGAGTCACGTCTGGACCCACTGCAGTTTCCGGTTATGATGTCTTAAAAATTGCTACATGTTACGATTTCACCAGCTATTTTACTTAAAATAAGACCATTACCCTCTTTTATGCAAATAAAAGCACAACAAATCAATGTAATTAGTCCATAGGAATGTTTCCACTAT